CGGCGTGGGAGAGCGTCGCACACATGCGCAGTGAAGATTATTTTACTCTTGAGATCCGAATGGGTGTTTACATGGACGCCAATCGGAATGGCGATCGGCAAAAACCACCTCTCTCTTTCGGAATTAAATTTAGATCCGATCGGACCGAATCGGATTAGAATCTTCAGTCTGACACGTTTACATGAAACATTTTTGATCTGATCAGGCCTTCAATCCGATTAGTTGTGTCCATGTAAACGTAGCTACTGTTGTGAAAAATAAACAAAACTATTTTGTAGTGGTACTGAGTGTCTTTACCCTGCTTTTTCATTTTGTGTAATTCTAGGGGGGTTAATGTATCGTGGTTGTATTTCTCTTTTGTTATAAATACACAAAATGTTTTTATTTGTTTATTTGTATTGTTACTAACCTGACTGAAAAACCTCTAGAAAATGTCATTGTTTTAACTGTGCTGCTACTGTAAGAGTATAAGCCCCTCCTGCGGGAGAGGTGTGTGCCAATTATTTTTCATCTGAATATATCCAGTTTATTTATAGATCTATGAAGTTAATTTTTGTTATTTACTTCTGTTTTGTGTAGGACTTGGAGCGGGCAGCCATTAACACAGTTGTTTTTGTATGTTGTTCTCGTCAGGAACAATAAATCAGGAAACTGTCCTGTTATAGATAAACTGTGTCACGGCCTGATCACTTCATAAACCAGCACAACGCAGAAAGGATCCGGTTACATATATATATATATATATATAAGATCATAATATTCAGAGAGTTAACAGAATTTCTCATATTTTAAATATGCATTAGAATTGCAATTTCCAAAAGGCTGTTTTTTCTTTTCATATTGGCAAGACGACAGAGATGTTTGAACGTTCTGAGAGCTAAAAAAAAAAAAAAAAAGGAATACCAAACAAACAGAAATGTGAAATATTGGTCAAGCCCACATGTTTAAAAATAATTTTTGCTTTTCAGAGGGCCACAGCAAGCAATAACGCCTTCATGAAAAAAGAGACCGCTGTGACATTAGATGAAACATATTTGGAAATAAAATGAAAAAGCATCCACTAATATAGAAATATATTCTGTTGCTAGGTTCTGCTCACAACTCTTTACCCTTGAGAGATAAAATGAAAAAAATAAAATAAAATAAAAGTGAAAACAAATAAAATACAAAAAAGTATGTTTTCTATGAAACCCACAAAGTTAATTACATAGTTAGGCTTGAATCTCTGGTTAGACTAAAGGGTGATCAACTTGTTGCTTGCCACTCCGTCAACTTAAAACAACTGTGCATGTTAGAATTTGAGCGTCTATCTTTTTATGACTTATACTTTCCTTTTACAAAGATACTTCAAGCATCTCAGCAAACTATGAGCAGTAGCAAAAGAAAGCTGACAAAAATATGAATATTCACAGGTAACAGATATGATCTATAATTAAAAGCATTGATATAAAGAATTCTTTCTCTGTATTCACTTCAAAGTGAGAAAGATCTTTTTTCCAAATGGCAGACATTGCTAATAGCTGGTATAGCTTATTTGATTTAATTTTGTGAGCCTTTTTCAGGACTTTGGTTCTGCATATGAGAGTAAAGTAAACATGGTTTAAAGAGCTCTTTATTTAGTGCTTTTGTGCTAAAACAAAAGGTACTTTGCAGGAAAAATTTTGCACAAATACCTGTATGATACACCACCACTTCCTGTCCCAGTGAAAACCAAGGCAGCTATTTGTTAATACAAGATGCTAGAACTTTAAGAACTGAGTCACAACTGTTAGAGGAAATTGTAAAGTTTATTTTAATATGAATTAATTCAGTATAATTCTCTTGCACATATACTATTTAAATAAAAAATATATAGTTTAAGTGGACCTGATAAGGCACAGATTTCCTCCTCCTGCTTATCGTCTATCACAGGTTCTAGGTTCGATACAAATACTCCACTTTCATTAAATCTAGACTCTGTCACTCCTAACCCTGTTCTGTTGGATTCTGCCAGCAGCTGGGGAGAAATGTGCAGTCAGCTTGTTCCTTAAAGGTCATAAGGAAAAAAAAAAAGTCAATCAAACAGTAATGGCTATATTGGGAGTGGGTCTTCCATCGTTGCAGCTAATTTTCTCTTAAACCTGACCAAATGTCAGCCCAGGCCTAGTTGAATCCCCTGCAGAATACTGTCAGTTTTTGGTGGTTGAAATGGTAATGGATAATACTGGAGTCATTAGCTATGGTATGAAGGAGGATTACGGCTTATATTTCTCTTGATCTAGAGTTACTCTCAAAGAATATTAAAATGCGAGGGCAATCAGAAAGCACAGCCCACCAGTGTTCTTGCCCTTTTTTACTCTTTAAATATTCCAACTCATCAACTAGCTCAAAGAAATTCAGGGTGGTAGATTTTCCTAGATTGCTGACTCATAATCATCCTAATTTTAACATACAAAATTTATTCTAAATAATTTATATGCTTTTTTTTTTACTGGTGCAGCAAATATATTTTAAACATCAAAATCATAGTCTCTTGCTGAATCATAGCCCATTTTTCTTTACACATGTAGCTTGTTCTTACCCTTAAGCCTTTCAGTAGCTACACATCCCACATACTTGAAGCTATATTATTGATTTGCAGCTGTGTGTCTGCAAACCTAATGGAAGTTTAATTTCCCTTCCCTGACCATTACTTATGGAACATTTATGGCTCTTTAGCATCTACAGTACAGGCATTTAGTTGTTTGCATAACTTTATCAAGACAAGAGCTATGCATGAGCTGCCCACTCATTTACTGTATAAAGCACTATAGTGAGTCAACCATCATGAATAACCTTTTCCCAGCGATTTTTTCCCATTATACAGTGTGCTAGAAATGCATCATACTGTACATTAAAAGTAGATTGGGATAAAAAGCAGCATTGTCAGCCATCTCTACAAAAGCAGAGCAACACTGATTACAGCAATAAAGTCAGGTCTGTATTTTTAAGGGTCATAGCAAATTACAACTGAAGGAGAACGTAATTATAAACCTGGTAAAGTTTGACTTTTCATGATCTAATCCAACCTTTAAGTTAAAAAAAACTAAGAGGCGTGGTACACCCTGGACAGGTTGCCAGTCCATTATATATATATATATATATATATATATATATATATATATATATATATATATATATATATATATATATATACACACAGTTTGTATTAGCATTTCATTTAAAACAACCTTTTAAAAATTATACCTTTTTCAATAATTACTGTAGATTTTTGCATGTTTCAAAAAGTACTTTGAATATATGCTACTTGCCATCACCCCAATCTGCTACCTCCAAACTTTGACCAGGAAACTCTAAAACAGTATTATTACTTGTATCCAAAAGTGTCATGGCTTAACGGTGTGTTTTACATCAATCAAAACTGAAACTACATCACTAGGTGGTTATAGGAGGCATCTTGGGTTACCTGTAACCCATCAGAGCAGGTTTTTATCCATATAAGTAGCTGGAATACATTTAGATAGCAGAGTCTTTATTCAGGTATAGTTCTCTTAATTTGAGATTAGTTAATAACTTAATAGCTAAAATCAGATAAGTTTTAAATTAAAAATCTAACTTTTTGAAAGTTATTTTTTAACCACACTAAATGTGGTAGACATTTTGTTTAAATATCAGAAGACCTTTTAAGACAACATGTTTTGCTGAATTGTATTGTATTTAAGAGATAAACTTCCCATGGAAATATCTAAAATGTTGGTTTAATATAAGTTTATATATCTAGCTATTTTAAGGAGAAAAATGCCCTGTATAAATACAATTAAGGTTTTAAATGATGTTGTCTAAACAAGAAAAAAATAAACCCCCCCCACCCCCCAAATCTGAATTTCAATGTCAGATGTTTAATGACATATCCAGTGGATGATCATTTCAGCCTCAAAGAGGAAAATCATTCAAGATGGACGATTGGATGTTCTTCATTTTAGAAGAAAAACAGGAAAAACCTGATTTATAATGTAAACACAGACAACTAGCTTTTTTTAAATTAATTTAAATTGTCTGACAGCAATGTTGCAATTTTGTTTGCATTGCAATTTTTCAGCATTACCAAAACTATCCCATTCCACAACACAAAGTCATAATCAGTAAATTAGAATAAATTCCATAGGTGAAGTTTTGCAAATTAAAAATAACTTAAAAAAAACATACTTTTAGTAAGAATTTAAATATTTAGCAACTGGCTATTTCAGTCAAAAAAGGTTTTTTTTTGCTCACTTATTAAATATTTAAATCCTAAATGTTATGTTTTAATCAGCTGCAAAGAAAATCTCATAAAAAAAGGCTTCAAAACAAAACATTATAGCTATTATATACTATGTTCTGATTTTAGTTAAATTGGTTAGGCTGCTGAGAATGAATGCAATAAAATATACTTATTCATTTTTTTTTAAAAATATGCCCTGCTGAATTGTTGCTGTTTATAATCTCTTGGGATAAAGATGGGGGTGGTTTCATCACAGCCTTAAACTGACAATTAAACCAAACATTTGAGCTGTGTGAGGAAGCTGAGGCAGGTACACACAGTGGAGACACGCATGGAGACCTGTTACAGGATAGTATCTGTGTAACTTAAGAAAGAATGTGACACGCTCAGAGGACCATCCAACCCAGAATTACAGGTCAATAATCACAGAATAAAGCAGCGTTTCAATGGCTTTACATTAACATGCTATTTTTACCTGATCCCATTACAACAACAGCCAACTCTTAAGTATTTTTACAGAGTTGCAGAACAAATTCAGCAATTAGCCGTTCATCGTAGCTTCATAATACATCACATCCATAAAATACTTATGCTGCATTATCCAAATCTGACAGCAGTTTTCCATATCTGTGTCATTTATGAGCTTATCAAATTTGCTTTGCTTTAAGAGGTTATAATGGGGACGATGTAATTACAGACAAGCTTTCATAGAGCTGAGTGCTCATGAGATTTAATAAGAGAACTTATCACAACACTGTACAAGACAAGCTCTGACTGGAAAAAATCCTGTTACATCAGACAGTAAAAATAATCTATTGCTCACTTTTAATACTGTTACCTGACTGCTTTTACAGTATACATGAGATCATTGTTTATTTTCCTACTCTGAGTTTACAAGAAAATAAAATCTGTGATTTTGCCACTTCTGTCAAATAAAACTGGCGCCAGTGTGTCTGGGGATGAGAGAGAGGGATTTTAGTTTAATAATGAGAGGCACAGAGAGGACCCGTAGACAAAGCATTTAGTAAGGCAATGTTCAATGTACAGACAGTGTTTATAGCTGATCGAAGCCAATCAAGGCTGACAGAATAGCTGGCTTTCTTGTTTGTCGAGCCCTAAGAAGATTACAAACCACCGGCCACAGCATCTTATCCCTCAAATCCCTCTCTAACACCAGGCAGCCTTGTGCAAATACAGATCTCAGGCTCCTTCTTGCCACCCTGTCCTGGCACCGTCCTTCAGTCAGGGTGTCAGAATTTAATAAAGACACTATTAAAAACAAAGAGGAGGAAAGGCGGCAAACCACCAAGGCAAAGGGAGGACTTTGCAAAGCCTGAGGGCAGATTAAATTACAAATAAAACTGCTTTCTAGTAAATGTTTGAAAAGTAGCTGTATGCTTATAGCAAAGTGTTGAAAATACTAATGGGGGGCCTTAAGTCTTGCTCTTTCAATGTAGGTGAATGTAAAAATTTCCTCCATGTACATTTCTTTTCTATTCTTGTCACATTAAAATGTTTAATAGAATTTGAAAAAAACTTGCCTGTCAGTCAAAGAAAACAGCAAAAATTAATTTAATATTTAACAAAACGAAAAGGCTATGACATAGGCGGGTAGTAATTAGTTACATTTACTCAGTTACATTTACTTGAGTAACAATTTGAAAAAAAAAGTACTTTTAGGAGGTTTACTGTGCCGTACTTCTTACTTTTACTATTCCTACTTGAGTAAAATCTCAGACTACTTTATCCTCTGTAATATGAACTATTCCAAGATCATATAAACAGTAAACAGTAGATACTAGCAGTGGAAGTTTGTTACCCTTAACATACATACAAGTTGTCATGTTACAGATTTTTTTTTTTAAGTTTTATGTTAGAAAACGAAAAAGGTACAAGTATTTCTTATGTATTAATTGTATATTCATTAATTTATTCTATTTTTTAGGCCTTTGAGTCTTTAAAATGTCAGAACTTGCACATCAAGCCTGTTAACCAGCATCATTTCTAAACTTTAAATCTGATGTTATTATCCAACTGTTACTCAGTTCTGAAGCAGCCCTTTTTGCAGAAAATTTTTGTATTTTACTTGAGTAATTTCTTGGATGACTCCTTTTTACTTTTGAGTACAAACATATTAAAGTAGTACCACTCTTGGATACAATTTTTGGGAACTGTACTTACCTCTGATGGCAAAGCCACCAATGGGGATAAAGTACTTGCAATCCCTGAATTTTGATTACATAAAAAAAAACAGGACCTGCTTGAGAATATTCATTTGGCCGAAAGTTTTCATGACGCAACCCATCCCCATCCCAAACCAAAAAAAATTCAAGAGCAATTTAGAAAAGGCTGTTGTCGTTTATTACTATGGAAGGGGTTTCAAAGCTTCATGCATGAAACAATGGTGCTGTCTCCCATGAGTCGCTGATCAAATTTACAGCATGTCAGCAAAGAGGGCACAGAAGAAACTAGAATCCCAAATAAACCATGTAGATCTCACTTACCTCAGCGATCACATTTCTACAAAAAAAAAAAAAAAAAAACACTAGGGGAAAAAAAAACATTCATAGAAGGGTAACGGCAAAAATCAGAAAAATAAAAACCAGCCATTTCTCATTTGCTAAAAATCATCTTGTTGATTCCAAACATTCTGTTTACCAGAAAAAAGGGTAAATGTTTGGGAGGAGAGTGTCCCGTTCTTAATTTTCCAAACTAAATGTGTTTGTGGTAGTTTGAGAAACTTGGACTGCTTTATACTTTACAGTTTGACTTGATATCATGAATAGGAATTAAGAATCAATTTGCAACCTTGACACTCAAGTTCATTTAGGTTATGTTGCAGGAGAAAGAACCATAGCACACCAGATCAGGCTTGAAATGCTTAAAAGATATGTGTACAATTTTTAACAACTTTAACATTTTGGAAAGTTTTGATCACAACAAAAGTTTTTTTTTTTTTTTTTCCCCTTAACATTAATCAGTGCAGCACACCTCAGAAGCTCAGCGCAGTAAACATAAGCAACTTCAGTTAAATGTCCCTTTTAGGTTTCCTGGATTTCCACACATACACGCTAGCAAAAAGATGTTAAGTGAATTAGAGTAGCTTTATAGCAGCCCTGTGTGAGCAGTAAACAGACGTTTATATCTCTATAAAAACTATCAGAATATTAGAACACTCAAGGGAGCAAGTTCAACGCAGCAAGACTCAACTGGCTCATCTTCCAGTCGTTCTAAATAAACGGTACAGCAAATGTTTCACGTTCAGTAGTTAAGAACACAGTGAATTTTTGGAAGCAAGTACACAAGATTACCATTTTTGTCTAGCCCAGTTTATTTTTAATTGGTAACATAACAGGAAACTGGAAGCAGAAAAATAAAAGAAACATTTCACATATATATATATATATATATATATATATATATGTGTGTGTGTGTGTGTGTGTGTCTTGAACAGATTTTCCCCTAAATTGTAAGCACATCACAACCAAAAGCTTAAGTCCCAAAACTAAAAGAAGTTAAACAGGGTTCCTTTAAGATACACAAGTTGCATTTATTTCCTTATTTTGTTTGTTTGTTTTTTACCTTTCCACTGTCCACCAAGAAAATAATTCAAAGGCAACTACAGCCAAATGTTATTTCACTTTGCACACTGTAGTTATGTTCCCTCAGTTGTAACAAACCAAGGAGGAGGAAAGAGGAGGAAAAAAAACAAATGATACAGGAAAAGGCGGCATATTGGGGTAAGTTGATCATCTTGCTAAATGAAAATAAAAACTTATAGAGAGCAATAATAACATATTAGTTAGAGAGAAAGTCAAACATATCTTGCTTTTGTCTGCTGGTATAGCAACTAACCAGCAGTGATCGGCTAAACATGAAGTGCAGGACCTGAATAAACAACGCAGTCCAACACAACTCCCTCGGTTGTTTAATGCAGCTTCAGTCGTCACTCCAAAGTCTTCGTTATGCAAATTTTTCAGGTCCAGAGATTTCTCATTAGCACAGTCTCTTATGTCCTTAAATCTAGTCGTTTAATGTATACACCAAGCACACAAAAGCCTTATACTTGTTGATTAAAGAACATGGTTTTGAAGAAGAAATGGATAAGCAAATTGAACAAAAAAAAAAAAAAAACTATAGCCCATTCCAAACATCGAAGTTAAGTCTACATAATCCAAGAACAAGGAGTTTTCTGTCCCCATGTGTTCACATCCGACACAGTCTGTAGGTCCTGATTATGGACCCCCACTTTTTTTGTTTTTATAGTCCACTGTGGCAGAAGCACCTTCAGTTTCAGACAATCTGGAAAAAAAAAAAATGACGAACTGGTGTTCTGTAGAGCGAGGGAAAAAAGAAAGCTGGTGGGAGGGTGAGGGTAGGGAGAGTTTTGGATATCCTGAGGTGGGTGATTAAAAGCAGTTTATCTTTCTGAAAGGTTTAGGGTTATAGGAGCTGGCTGGCCAGTGCAGGTTAGATGGGACTCGAACAGAGCTTGGCAATCTAGTTTGCCTCGCAAAGTCAATACTTGACACAGGTACAAAGAAGCTCTGGTCTGGATTTTGAGGTAAAGAGCAGAACCTAGAAACAGCGCCAAAGCCATAGTGTGCAAGAAGGAGAACTTTCCCCCTTTCTCCTGCTGATCATTCTTTTTTTCTGAGGTAAAGAGAACAGGCTAGTTTCCAAAACAAACATAACTGTTTAATTTTGACATCCATTTATATACTTACACACCATTCATAGATTTATGGTCAAGAGTGCATAATCTTTTCTCTAAAATGTTCAACGTTTTTCCATTTCCAATAGGTATCTTAGTATAAGGGATTCTATCAGACCAAGAGAAGCTGGAGTTAAATAAGATTAAGGGGAGAATTTGATGAAAGAGCCAATTATAAAATAGAGCAATGCTTTCCAAAAAGTAAAAACTTGTGAAAAACCCTGAAGAATTATAGGAGAAAACCCATATCCATGTTAACGCTGAGACACTGTCTGAAAGCCGAGGCTCCAAAAGAGCAAATGGTTGCTCAAGAACACTCCTCCCCGATGCGCTGGAATGAGCGGCCCACTTTACGGTCCAGCTTTACCATCTTAAGCACAGCCTCCTGACGTCCACGCCCCTGGTGGTCAAAGAGGCAGTCGTGTTGCTCAGGAAGACGATGGAGCATGCAGAAGATGAAGCCTGCACAGTAAAAGAGGGGTCATTGAGAAGAGAAAGGGACGATCTTTTCATTTACTATATTCAACATCAAATACACATTTCTACCTCAAGTAAGAAATGCTACAAAAAGGCGATACCTTTTGCTTACTTGCTGTTTCCTATTCTGACTTTATTAAACAGAAAGAAATGCATATTCTCCCAGAATTAGCAATAAACAAGAATCTGAAACTGTTGGCTCTCTGCATCAATCTTTTTAGCACATGTACTGGCATTCACTGCTGGCATTCGATAAAAGGTAATTAAAGGTCCAGTTTGACATCTGATTGCAAAGCAATTAAAACCAAGCCCAAAACTGCAGAAATTAACCATATGTCTTGCAGAGCGATAAACAATGAGGCTTAATTTCCTACTTGTATTTTGTTGTGACGTGTTAACAAGTGACACATATCCTACGAATAGACTGCATTAGATATTGAACTTAAAACTAAACATAAAAAAATAATAAGCGTAATAAGTACGCTTATTGTCTTCCATTGTACTTTCTGCCAACAGGCTTGGATATGTTGGTGATTAAACAGCGGACCAGTTCAACACTTTGCGTTTATGGCTTTCCTGACTTGTGAAGGGTGTAAATGACAATTCAATAGTCTGAAGTATTTTGTAGAAATTGACATAAAAAATAGTATTTCTGAGTTAAACATGATTGGTTAAATTGTTTAAGTTTTTAGGTCATTAGATATTGAAGAGAAAGAAAGAATTGAACTACATCTTTGTATCTGATAAATCTGTATATGTTTCAACGGAAATAAATCAATCAAAATACAATAATTTCAGATTTTTTTTTTATTATGGAGATGTATGCATATTCATCTAGTCTTATTTAAATATCAAAACCTAATGAAGGATTTTGTTTTCTATAAAAACTTAAAGAGCATGAACCCAAAAAAAAGAAAAAGTTTCACCACAGCAATCTCGATTTACTTAAGTTGCTGCTTGTGGACCTGGTACTTTTGTAATCGTGCGTCAGATATTCTGGGAGCAACATAATCCAGATGATTATGTTCCTTGGCTTTTTAGCCTCTAATGTCAAAACGAATGAGTTAATTAGAGTTAAATACCAAAGCCTTTCCCTTGTGTCACACCAATACTTAGAAAGATTAATATTAGAGGCAAGCTGCAGCGAGCAGATGCCTGCTGAGTGAGGCAACACTGGATCACTTTCTTTGCAGGAGAAGTACCCCCCCACCCACATTTACAATCTGAAAAGCATTTGCACTTTTAACTCATCTTTAGACCTTCTTAACTTACACACAGTAGCACATTATCAGGACCATTAGCTAAATTATCTCAAATGACTGCAACATTCTAAGTTACTATAACTGCCACAATTTTCCCTCTTTGTTTGCAAAAGCCAAATGTTCATAGTAAGCATTAGATTACTAGAGATTTATTGCCAATGCATTCAACAATGATGGGTGTAAAAAAGTAATGAAAAAAAGGAGGACATGTCCATTTCCAATTTAAACATTATTGCATTTATTAAAGGAGATCAGCCTTTTAAGAGCAAGGGGCTTTGACGTTTTAAGTACTTTAATTTGTATGCAAACAAGTTAATTAGGAAGCCAAGTATTGGCTTTAACTGCATTAGGGGTTGTGGTAATTGGCCTATGTTTTATAAGCAATAAGAAAAATTCAAGCTTTCTGCAATTGTCCCCGTGGGCAAACAAAAGCACAAAACCAAACGACAAGGCAAAAGCTGATTCCATCTTCTGCATTTTTTTTTTCCTAAAATGTAATTAAAACTTTGAACCAGATAATGCTAATCATTTTTCAAGGCATATAATACTCACTGCAAAGGTTGTTTACAGCTGTAATTGACCTCTGAACCTTAGACTGACCTTACCTGCATGAGCTCCTTTTGTCCAGATCACTCTTCAAGAAATGTTTAGCTGACTTTAGGTAAAGTCGTATTGATGTACATTGCCATCCAGAGATTTTTAAATTATGCTTAGAAACTTAATAGCTAAAAAAAAAAAATTATTTATAATCTTACTAATTAAATGTATAGAGGACAATCTTTTATTTCCGGGTGGATCATCTAAATAAGCGGTCCTCTTAATCTTCAATCATTCTGATGATATGTTTACGAAAGGCTGTCTTTCTGTGCATGCGTACTTTCAGGCGTATATGTGTGGTGAGCTACGGTTTCAGTCATTGAAGCTCACCTTTCTCACAGCGGTTCTTTGAAAATGGCCGAGGATTGTGAAAAAAAAAATAAATAAAAAATTGTATACAAAGTGTATGAGAAGAAAAGAAAGGCCACAATAGAGGCAGATGTATCCCAGAATGCTTTGCCCAGAGAGCTCTCCTCGCAAATCATTCTGGGATTTGCCATGGCATTCTGGGATTTGCCATAGGCTGTAGCTACCTGACAGCGGCAACTAATAAAGATGGCGCAGGAGGAGTTACGTCGACCAACTGGGAGAAAAAAGCAGTGATCATCGGTGTGTTTGCTAGAAATTCCACTATATAGTCCCTACTGTATGTGGATAAAGTTGGCTTGTATGAGCTATGAGAGGAGCACATTTTAAACAGGGCGTGCACAAGGAGAAATGGGCTTGTGCATGGTCTTGCACGTGCATTTATTTTTATTTTTTTTTGGAGAGGGCTGTTTTTTTTCCCAAAAATCCTCCACAATACCTTTAATTTAGAAATCTAGAAAGTCATCACAGTATCCATGATGACCTGGGGTTTTTTAATACCGACTGTCAATGTGTTGAACAGGAAATGTTACCCTTTCATTTCAGTCGCTTTGAAATAGTTATAATGAAGACAGGCAATTTTTCTGAAGCATTGGAAAAGAAAAACATCTATAAAGAAGATGATTACTGATAAGAATCCATTTATTATTGTTCATCGTTACCTAAACTCCACTTCTGATTGGTTGATTAGTTTGTTATGAAAGCTCCTCCCGTAGACATGTGTTAAAGGTTTGTTAGAACATGTCAAGAAAACGACTGAAATTCGACTGTGAAAAGTTTTTGTCCGCATGGTATGCAATTCAGTATCCATCTGCTAAGTGTACATTTCGTACAAGACAGTTTTGTTTTTCCTCAAAACAATACATCAGCTTATGGTGGCAGGTTTGTCTAGGGGAAATTGATTTAATGCAACAGTAAAGAGACGTTTTTAATATTACTAGATAACTTTTATCCTGATTCCTCTTTGCCTCATTTCTAAATAACTTCTTATTCTGACAAAAGTCCAACTCCAGTTTCAGTATGTTAAACATATTTAACAAAATAAATGTTTTCATACTGATCCTGTATGCAATATGCATACTTGATAAATGTCTGAATCATTCCATTAAGCATGAATAAATCTATACAGGTCATGTAACTAATAATGTCATCATACCACAGCGACAGGAGCCCAGTTCCTGCTGTACCAGCTCCAGTTTAGTTTGGCAGCGATGGCAACGTTTGCGGCTCCGCTGTTTAGAGCCGCTGCGAGAAGAAAATGGCGAAGATGATAATGATGATGACGACGACGATGAACACTCCTCACCCTCTGGAACCTCTGCCACTCTTGCCCGCTTCTCTGGTGAGGAGTCACTTTCTGACTCTGAGGCTTAAGACAAAGGGAAATGTGCACATATAAAAAACACAAGATAAGAGAAAAAAAACTGATGACATCTTGGTCAAACTTATAAAAGATTTCAGTTCTGTATCAAAGATTTTGAGTGGAAAATGTTAAAGTGTAAAAATTGATGTTTTCTGGCAAAAAAACATTTTTTTAGGCTATTCAAGTAAAATGGTATGAAGATTATTCCACAAGTAGTCACTACTGGGAGAGGGCAAAACCTGGTTTGGTGTCAAACAAGAAGGAGAGAGAAAGCAAGATTAATAGGTCTCCTGTTTTAGATTACATGCCCGACAAGAGGGACAGTAGGCGCCTGTAGCAAGCTTCCGCTGGTTGGCTAGAATTTCAACTCAGCTTTTCTCATCAATCCAGCAGACTTTTTCCCTGGCCCTGCCAAAATGCAGATCAGCACTCAATAAATCTCTGAGAACTAGGCCATGCAGTACAGTCAGACATCCCCCTCCCCATTCAACTAGCCTGGCTCATCGATCCTCCATATATGCGGGTGTGTGAGAGTCTGGACATGTGCAGTTTCAAGCTGTGAAAAATGGTTTCCTTTCTACCTGAGTTTTTTTTTTCCTTCATCCTATATTGCTGTTGATAATCTATATAGGTTAAAACAGACCAATTCAAATTTGATATGAAACCAAAGTATTTCTGTCTCTACAGATTTAATTTGGATTATATAGGCATTATTACCGTATTATGATTATAGGTAACACCTTATGAAAAATGCGCAGAAAACAGAGCCAAAGGATGTGGATTTAGATTTTGACCTTACATTTAAAGGTTGCTACTTGGGAATGTGTGTTTAACGCCGATCCTCATATGACTTCAGAATAGAGATCAGCATATTATCTACAGCCATCTTAAATCATTTCATACGGTTTCTATATAACTTAAAGTGGCTCTCAAAGTTTACAAAATAAGAAAAATATTGTGGGGTGGTTGCATATCTAAGCAGGCTCTTGAGATAGAAATTTAAAAAGCCACTTTTGATTCAGTTTCAGAACTAATTTTCCTTTAGAGAATTTCTCACAGCAACAGGTGCTCATTCTGGCTTTCTACAGTTCACATCTATCAGATTGTGATTTTCTGCCCATAACACTTTCCTATTGAATTTTCTGTTAATTTAGCTTTGGACTATAGCTCAGTCATTACAAATTATTTGTTTTCCTCATGAGAAGTCATGCTTTTCTTGATATGAATGTATGCTTGGAATGTGTGGTGCTGAAAAATATAATTCATTGTTAGCCTTCTGGGACCCAAGAAGGTTTACAGCCAGACGTGGCAAATACAGCAGAAACCCTTTAACTGCTGGTAAAGTCGTAGGGAATCTGCTGTTCCAACTGTTGCATTTCCGAATTCTCTCGAGTGGTGCCTGACTTTACACGAGTGAATTAAGTGACTGTGATTGGTGTTGTATCAAGGGGAAGGGATCTTTGATGCAGTGTAGGTACCAGATCTGCTCTGGTCTTGCGCATGCCAGTGTTATTACGCTACACGATTGGCTGAAGGTCGCCACATAATGTAAAACACAGTGGTTACCCAGACAACAATAACATCACGCAGCATCCACGTGCTGAATCGGGAGCTTCTGTAGCGTTAGCGTGTCTAATGAACGATTAAGTTTTACCTTAACGATAACAAACTAAAAAAAATCTGTTTCTGGTGAACAAAGTAACTGTTGGACCATGATATAATGGGGGAGAGCTGGGTAGCACTGTGGCTAGCTGTTTTTAGTAGCTAACAGGTTAGCCTTTTTTAGCTTGGTCAGTTAGCCATATTAAGCTACACTACTTTTGAATTTGTATCAACAACAACCGTCTTATAAAATTATAAATTAATTTTATAAGATGTTCCATTTGTCCTCCTCTGCCCTCTGATCTTAATCAAAAGAATAAAAATAAGCTGAGCCTTTTTTTTTGTCACCTTATTAAATGGTAGACCCCAGTCTGTCTTAGAAGGCAGTGCTTTCCTTCAAAGCTGACGATGATTGTTTTCTACTTTCGGCTACTGCCAGGGCGGCAGAAGCTTGGTTTGGTGTAGAAGGCTTATAGCCGTATATGTTTGAGCCCTTGCCTCGCAAACTGCCAGGTCTGTTAATTTTATGCCTGCCGAAGACACAGACGTCCATCCATTTGATTGACAGATGACCGTTGATAAATGATGGGCCAGATTTAGGTGTACAAGCTGACGTATAACCAACTGGCCTGCATAAAAAACACACAGATTTTAGGACAGATTTTTTTTTTTTTAAATAGAATTTTTTTTATATTTTGGGACAATATAGTCTGAAAAGAGTACATTTATATGTATTGCATATATTGTGTTGTTTTGATGATCTGTTTTGTTTTTGTTTCAAATAGATGTTATGGAACTGTGGTCTAGTCCTAAAGTTCAAGCTTAGTATAATCAGACCGGAGAACACTACCAGTTGTAGTCTAGAAATTTGGAGAATGCATTTAGCTAAAAGCCAGCACTTTTTAGATATTCTTGCATTTCCTGTAGTAATGTTATCGGCCAGTTGATATTTTCCTATCCAGATCCTTTAGTTTTGTGTAAGGGTCAAAACTGTCTAGCTTCGTCACATCTTTTCCATTATGTGGACTGCTTTAATGTTTGAGCTAGCTATCAGCTTTTTGATTTTTCCTCTGATCTGTTTATTTTGACAGGATATTCAGTATATAACAAGTGGAAATGTTTCAACATGATTTATTAAGCACAAGGATTTTTAAATGATGTTTTACCAGTGTGGTACAAGCTTCTGAGAGCCTCAGTAGTTCATGTCCTATTGTATCTTTCTAAATTGTAAATTCCATGTATTGCTCTTTGAAATATGTTTAGGTCTCTGCCCACCCTGGCAACCTTCAACGTGTCCCTCCTACTTATATTACTTCAAGGAATAAAACAAATCCCCTCTGGATCTAGTCAATAGTCTTGAGATTAGCTGTGTAAGTGGGAATGACAAACAAGTGGTAAAAACAAGTAACAGAGATTAAAGCATACCAGATTCATATGAGCGTTTTGAGGGAGTGGAAAGTGAAGCCAGGACAGATTCTGTGTTTGATAGACCTGAAAAACAGAAGTAAAAGAAAGCAAAGATGAGAAAGCTTATTTCCTTGATTCAACTTTGCTTCTGTCATAATTACAGAACATTTTAGCATTTTATTTTTCTGTCTTAGATCTTTTGAGATTTTGAAAGTTAAAAAAATGTCATGCTGTACTGTAAAGACGCTGTAACAGAGACAGATGGGTACACTGTGAGGTCACTCAGAAAAGCTCACAGATAAAAATAAAAAAGGCATGATAAACATAAGCTCGCACCTGGTTGCTTGGATACTCTTTTAGCATTTTCCACACAGTATCAGCTAAAAAGGTCATGACTGTCCACTATGAAATCCATTAGTAAGCAGTGAGATATTTTGTTCTGTTTTTTTTCCACATGGGACATAGTGCTGCTTTGTCTAGATACATACAGAGAAACAAATGTACGATTAACATAATCGAATCCTATTAAAAAAATTAAAATAGAATTTATTTGTTCAGCATAGCATATTTTAAGGTAGTTTAAACAGTAGTTTTCAAACGTCAAAAAAGATTTGCAATATATTGTGTAATTATTAGAATTTTGTGGAAAAAATTAGTTTGGCAGTTATTTTACATTTGACGTTGATTTGATGTTAGTTTGATAATTTTTGTTTGTCTAAAAGCTAGACACATCTGTTTTATTGTCAATTTCTTCCCCCTGTGCCAAATAGACCTTCACAGGTATACTTGTCACTATACAGAGATGACGGATGCCAGGGCAAACGAAGGTGTCCTATTCAGACTTTCTCTCTTAGAAAATATTCTGTACTATCAGTCTTCCAGCATCTTCTGTAAGGACAAACAGAACTTACTTCAGTTACTAGTCTTCTGCATTCCCACTTTGGATGCTTTAACCTTACTCAGATGTCTTACATTAAAATTATCGTTTGAAAGCTTTTTGCATTTTAAATTAATCTGATTTTGACACTAGTTTAAACAAAAAATATATATATATCTACCAGAAAAAACGAATTATTAAACCCATCAACTAACGTAACAAGAAGTGTGGCAGAGTAATGGGATGAATTAAACCTGGTGACGTCGAGAATCAAGAATCCACCTTTCGTATTCCATTTTCAGAGTTTTTTAAAGTGTTTAACAGAGACG